GGAGGGCGATGGATGGATGGGAAATAGTGAGCGAGTGAAGGAAGGTATGAGCGGTTGGTGATGGGCGGATGTTGGGTGGGGATGGAGGGGTGGGTGCAGGGGAGGTGGGTGATGGAGGGTGAGTGGTGGGTGGAGAGGGGAGGGGGTAGTTGAAAGGTCGGATAAGAATGGCGATTGGGCCGAAAACCGGTTTGGCTCAGTGGATAGAGCGTCGGCCTGCGGACTGAAAGGTCCCAGGTTCGATTCCGGTCAAGGGCATGCACCTGGGTTGCGGGCACATCCCCAGTGGGAGATGTGCAGGAGGCAGCTAATCGATGTTTCTCTCTCATGGTAACTCTCGATCTCTCTCCCTTCCTCTCTGTAAAAAATCAATAAAATATATTAAAAGAAAAAAAAAGAATGGCGATTGGATAAGTGGACGGGTGATGGGTGAGAGAGAAAGCGCAGGCGTGGCCTGTGTGCAGATGGGTGTGCAGAGACGGTGTATATGGATGGTGGCTGGGTGAGATGGGTGGAGTGAGAAAGGCCGCGGTTTGGGATGGTAGAGACGATCGAATGGTGATGATGGATAGATTAATGGGGACTGGGGTTTAGATGAATTGTGAATGACGGTTAGTAGAGAGATGGTGGATGAGAGTGGAGATGGTTATTGGATACAGCAGATGGGTGGATGGCCAGGTGGGCGCCTGTGAGTGTGGGATATGTGGGTGGGTGGATGGATGGATAGATGGATGGATGGATGGATGGATGACGTTGGAGGGATGGGTTGGCTGATGGCTACGCTTACCTGGAGAAGTGGATGCGTGGCTCTGCGTGCTGCACATCAGCATGGATCGTGGTGAGGGCGGTGGGATGGTGGGGTGAGTGGGTGGGTGCACAGATTTCACACGCTGCCCCGGATGGTGGACAACGGGCTTATGGTGCGTGGATTACTAGGGGACGGGCTGTGAGTCGGGGGAGATGGGTGGCTGATGCGTGGATGGGGGGAGACAGATGGTGCTTACTGCTTGGGGCGGTGGAGGTGGCGGCAGAGACGGAGGACAGTGGGAGAGGGACTGCTCAGCCTTGGGAACTCCTGCCCATCCTCCCTGCAGGTCCCTCGCTCTCCTGCACCCACACCCTCGCCTGCAGCCTGGGCCTCAGCACTTCACTCACACACGGATGGAGGGAGCCGGCGCCCTGGGCACTCACCTCTGAGCTGGGAGGGGCGTGGCCCCTCTGGGAAGGAGGGAGCAAATGCACCAGCACCTCCCCACCCCCGCCACCCCCCCCCCACACTTTTTCCTGCTGGATGGGGCACCAGAGGGGCGGGGAGGCCCAGTCCTGGAGTTTGTGGGTCTCACAGGAGGCTCCATCCTCTGGCCTCGACCAGGAACAAAGGGGCTGTTTGGGGGTCACCTCTGTTTTGTCCTTTGTTTTGCTTCTCCCTGGGAAGGAGGTGGTGCTATTGATTGGGACTATACCCCAATAAACTGCTGTCCCCCTCCTCCTCCCACCACCCACTTCGGATGCTCAGGGCAGAGCTCGGAGGCGCGGGGAACTTCGCCCTGGGCCCGAGCGCTGCAGCCAACCTGAAGGCTGGACCTGCAAGGCGGCGGGACTGAGGGGAGGCATGGCCCCCAGACAGCTCCAGGGGCCGGAACTCTGCCCACTCTGGCCCCACCTGGGCAGGCCATTCTCAGAGAGACTGCTGTCTAGAGAGGGCAGCGAGGCCGCCTGGGCAGGCAAGGGAGGCTGCCTGGAAGAGGCAGCACGAACGCCGCCACATGAAGGCGGAGGTCACAGCTGTGGGTACAGGTGGAGGGTGGGTGAAGGTGGGGTCAGGGCTGCGGGGTCTCGGCGGCGCCTCCATGTGTTGAGCAGAGGCTGCAGGTAGGTCCCGTATCAAAGGGCGGCCCACAGAGGAGCCCATGCCAGAAGCAAAGATGTGGGCCACACACGGCCAGACCACGCTGGCCACGGCACGCTGTGCCTCCCCCCAGGTCCACATGAGCACATGCAACGCCCCAAAGAGTTTCTCCCAGTAACCGGGCCCCTGAGCAGCTGCTTCAGGCACGGAGGGATCCAGGCGCTTGGGCTGCCTGGTCGCTTCGTCTCTCTGTCTTGCTGTCCGGGCTTGCCCATCCTCGTGCTGGTTTTGTGTGCTCAGCCTTCTCCACAGGCAGGGAAGGCGGCCTGGGAGAGCCGGGCCCCACTGCCCTGGCCGGCCCTGTGGGGGGCTGGGAGTGGAGGGGGGCGCTCAGTGAGGTCTGAGTGTGGTTCACCTCATGGCCCAGGGTTGCTGTCCTCTGATTGGCCGTCACAGCCCTCCCCTGGCAGCAGGGCACTGTGAGCGACAGCCCTGTTGCCTGGGTGTGGAGGTGGGCAGACCTGCTCTTAGCCATGGCCCCCAGGCAGAACACTGGGGCCATGGACTCACCCCCTTCCTGCCCCTCTCCTTTCTCTGTTCTGTTCTATGGGGACAGATCCAACCCCAGGTCAATTCCCCAGCTCTTCTCCCCACCTCTGTCCCTGACGGAGCGGCCACACCTGTCCTCTGAGCAGAGGGAGGCAGTGAGGGTCACAGGCCGTCCGGCACTCCCGGGCCTGGACCATGGGCCCCCTGGAGAGCCACTGTCCCAACCCCACAGACCAAAGCCAAGGCCTGGGCTGGTCAGTGGCCAGGTGGCTCTCAGCGAGGGCAGGACGCTGGGCCGGGAGGAGCGCCGGGTGCCCCACGCCCATGGCTGCTCTCTCTGGGACAGAAGCGGCTGCAGCCTTCGGCCAGTCCCCAGGGCGCCCTCAGCTCAGGGCCCCTCTCCCTGGCCGCATTGCTGATTGTCCGTGGGACTCAGGGAAACCAGGAGGAAGGAGAGGGTCCAGCTCCCGCCGGGGGCGCGGGAAACCCCACGGACACTGGGCAGCAGTACCAGGCGGGCTCGGGCCATCCAGGGGTCGCTTGGTGTCTGTCTCTGGTGTGGTCAAGGCTGAGGTGGGACCCCAGGCTTCCGTTCCTGCCCAGGAGGGTGGATGGAGCATAAGGGCCGTGGGCTGTGCCCCTTCTCTGAGGAGCTCCTGGTGGGGTGGGGATGGGTGGGGAGGGTGGGGACGGCAGGAGCAGTGTGGCCTCTGGACAGAGGTGAGCCCTGAGATCTGGGCGGGAGTGGCCTCTGGGGGCTCGTTCCTGGGCCCTCCTTTCCTGCTGTGGGTGGAGGCCGATGGCCCCTCCCAGGCCAGGCCCCACGTGGAGACGTGGAGAAGGGGTGAGCAGGGCACTCCGGCGGCGAGTGGGCTGCAGTGGGGACACTGGAGGAGCAGGGTGGTGGGAGGGGTGGGCGGCTCCCGGGGCCTTAGTACCAGGCCTGAAAGCAGCCCCCACACTCACACACACGGGCACCTAGAGAAACGCGAGATCCGAGACCGGCTATGTGGGCACCGAGCAGGGGCAGGGCGAAGGGCGCAGGCCCAGCACTCCCGCCCGGAGGGGCTGCCTGACAGAGGCCACCCCAGCAGCCCCCACCCCACCTGAGTCAGTGCTGGGCTGCTTTCTAATAAGCACTTTGTCTCAGGGGAGGCAGATGCTGCCCTCCCACCTGACAGAAGAGACGGAGGCTCAAGAAGCCTGGACGCCCACAGCTGAGAGTGGGCCCTGGGGCAGGACCCAGACCTGCGGCCCCGCTGGGCCCCGGGAGCGGGAGGGCCCCCTGCTTGCTCTGGGTCAGGCACAGGCCCGAGGCATGGACAGCCCGGTGGCCTCAGGTAGGACTGGCCACTCAGCCTGCAGGTCGGGGCAGAATGAGCACCCAGGACCCCTTTTCCAAAAGTTAAGAACTTCAAGGTGGTGACAGGAGAGCGTTGTGCCAAGTGTGGGCCCACGTTCGGCATG